CACCGATATTCAAAGGAATAGGTGCATGAAGTTAGGTTACAGCCTAGTGACCAGTCATTTTATCCATCACAGTCCTACGAGAGGTCAATTATGAACCCAAATAGTTCAGTGGTAACGTCTCGGATTGCAGCATCGGGTAACGTATTTTCATATCTCTGTGGAGACATGAGTTCCTGCACATAAGCCTTGCTGAAGAATGCCAACAAGTACGAAGACTAGGTCCAGGGCTTTCTGTTGATTACCTCCAACCACCTAACATCTATGATTTGAATAATATCTCAAGTTTTAATCTAACTATGGTGCTCGGTAAGAGATTCACCGCCAGTCAATGGGGATTTAGGTACATTCAACCGATAAGTCTTGAATGGGATGAAACACGTATCCTGAAGTCTACTGATAGCCATCACCAACAAAATAATATTACACTTAAAACAAAATACAGAAGTAAAATGAATATGCTTAGGGATGGAGTTGAGGTGAAAGAAGAGGCAGTAAGAAAGATGATCCTGCAAGTATTATGTGTGTGAATGTTACCGAAAAGCGGAAAATTAAAGTAAATCAACAATCGCTTCAGAGGTAATCTTAAAAGTGATGTCAATCAGTTCAGTGCTTCTAAAACTGTCTACAGAATTGTCTAACAGCTTGTCATAGACTTTCACTAACATTTGCCGCCATCTCTTGATAACTGCAGATCAAATGACTAGCCAGAAGAAATAAACAACAAGAGACCCATCCGAAAATGTATTATAGCTCAACAAGTATGCAAAAGAGAAGGATATGGAGATGGATTGGACAGTCACTGTGGAAATATTCAGATGCAGTTACTCTCCAGTCAAGCCGTCAATTGAAACGAAAATGGAAAGTGATGCGTTGAACATAGGTCCTAAGATGACATTGGGGAGGGGGGGGATCACAGTGGTGCGTCGGTGGCACAGTGGTTAGGACTCTCACCGACCATGCACATGGTCCGAGGTTCGAGCCCACGCCGACGCACACTGGTATCTATGGTTGGCCTGCAAAATTTGGGCTACCGATATCCACGCTGAAAATTCCATACTTGTACCAAAAATACAGTGTGGAATCAAGCTGTAAATCAAAAAATAAAAATAAAATAAAAATAAAAAATGAATGCTCTTGGGTAGTCATGAAGCCAGTTGAAAATGATTACATAGAACCGGGTGGAATAAGAATGTGCCTCTGGAGCCCTATCTCCCATTCAAAACGCTCAAAGAATGAATAATTTTCACGCTTTGGTAAGTAAGTTTGAACAAAGCAAGAATTATAAAAACGTGTACCAGGATGATAATACGAGCTTATCTTTCATGATCATTTCGAGCATTCTTCTTCTCAACTGCCTGGCTACAACCTGGACAATACAAATAATATAATTTAGAATATTTATTTTTTTATTTTTTTGATTACAGCTTGATTCCACACTGTGTTTTTGGTACAAGTATGGAATTTTCAGCATGGATATCGGTTAGCCCAAATTTTGCAGGCCGACCATAGATATCAGGTGTGCTTTTTCGGTAGGAGATCGAACCTCGGACCATGTGCATGGTCGGAGAGAGTCCTAACCACTGTGCCACTGACGCACATGATTTCTTCCGCAATGACATGGAGTAACTCGCAGAAACTAAAAGTAACATAAATCCTGAATGATGTCAACTGTTCAGTTATTAATAGTTAAAAAAAACTGACTATTTATGGGATAACTAGACGAACACACTTGGAAACAAAAGGACAGAGTTCGAAAACTGTTTTGCGCAGAAACAAAGTTCAACCTAGAAAGAGTGTAACTGTAGTGAGAACTAGCCACAAGCCAAAATTGTAGACAGCAACATACTTCAATGTTCACGTCCAGAATCGGGGTCATGAGAAAAAACAACAGTAACAAAGCATAATCGTGAGAAAATCGCCAGCCAATCATATCAGACTTAAAGTGTGCAAATACGATTCACAGATATATGGCTTAAATTTCTGAGAAACGGTCACAAGCAGTACAGAATAACCTTCATCCAGAAAACAACCAATCAGAGGAAGATGCTTCTCTGGTAACAATAACGCTAATAATAATGTACATAAAAATCTATAAATATCTGTTGATTTTCTCAAAAGACGATCTGTTGCCTGACTCTTGTCTTCCATGGTTACACAACAATATAAGAAGTTACATAACTACAGATAATATGTGTTATAATATAGGCAAACAGGGGTGTAGGATGAGTAGTGTTTAGATGGAACAATCAAATCTTCATAACAGGACAGATATTGACTTAATAAAAATATGTATACTTTGTTACCATCCAGGAAGTGCGACATTCGCCACTGTCTCTTTCCGGGAACACAGAAATGATTTTCATCACTTGATTGGGAAGACTTCAGGAAAAATGTTTAGCAAGTTAGTTGTCTTTTATCTATCGAGTATTTTGAACGCCTTCAGATTGTCCATTGTCTAAAATATAGCGTGCAGTCGCACTATATATAATGCCTGTGACTAATTTAGTCGCAGGTTCTATCGTAAATGTCGAGAAATGCAGACAACAGCCCTTTTCTCTGTTCTTTCAATGTATGTGCTTTGGCACGCAAATGTAAATACGCAGTCACAGTTGGACGTAACACAAGGGGGAGGGGGAGGTTTGTTAGCTCTTGACTGTTTCATCCTAAACACGACTCATCCTACGACAACTTTTGGCCTATTTCATAAAAATATTTTTCCCGTAGTTATCTAATTCCTTATAGTGTTATACTCTTTCTAGTTAAACTGTGTTTCTATACAGTTTCGAACTCTATCTGTGGTGAGAGCAGGCCGTGAGAAAATATGAGCAAGGCTGATTCAAGAACCAATCACAGTAAAGTTAACGTGGCAAAATATGATTCGCAGATAGAGAACTCTATTTGTCGAGGAATCCCGAAACAACCAATCAGAAGCCTGCGTTTGTCTGCCTAACTTCTGATAAACAACCAATCAGATGACTGCGCTTGTCTACTTGCATAAGCTATAATAATGTATGTGAAATATATATAAATACGTGTTGATTTTCATAATAAAACGATCTGTTGCCTGGCCCTTGTCTTCTATTGTTACATATCTTTTTGTTTCTAAGTATAATATTTTGATAGGATATCAGTCAGTGACTAGTTTAATATGTCTAGTCTTTTGTTCAGTGCAGACTGAATTCTATCAGTCAAGTTTGCAATATGCCAATCATTTTAGGTGGCTGGCCACCACAGTGCAATTTGACTGGTTAATATTAGATGGTTGGAGGCAATCGACTGAAGGAAGGAAGCCTAAACTAATTTAGGTTTCGTGCTAGGTGACACTCACCAGTCAGCAAGCCGTATCTGTAGTCTTGAAGGAGCTCACGTCCCTTCTGAGGTTCAAACCCGCGTCACCCAGTGCTGAATTCAGAGGCTTTGCCATTGAGCTATTCGGGCTCGCGACTGACCTCTGATATGTATCCATTTATATATGTGTGTGTGTATGGTGGTCTCTCTTTCTGTTTGCTCGCTTAGTCTGTGACTATTTCACTTTTATGAACCTGTCTCCTTTAACAATGTATATTCTCCTTATATTATATATAATATAATATGAGTGTTTGTTGACAGTCCGTTGCTTGGTGACTCATATCCATATATGGTGGTTGTTGACATGTCTGCTATATTTTGCTATGTATATTTGGATCGACACTCCATTATAATTAGCCATTCATGTTAAGACTGTCTATTGATTGGTTCACACACTTGTCTGGATGGTCATACATATTTCGCTCACACAATCTTGTGTGACTTACTTTACCACTTTGGTGTGATACCACTTTTGCATTCTCCTTGTGTTTGGAAAATAGAAGTATCATAGCAAACCTAGTGGTCTTCTGATTTCCGCCTTCTTGCGTCAGGACTATTAGTTTCTCGACCAGTCCATAACAATAATTTAGCGACGAGTACATAACAACCTCCTATAGGGATATGAGTTCCTTTAAGGTTGCAGATACGCCTTGCTGATAAGTGCCAACTAGTACGATTACCTACAACCATCTAATACCAACAATTAACAGTGCACCGTGATGGCAAGTCATCTAGCATGTTGGCCACAGTGCAAACCTGACTGACGGATAGAATTCAGTCTGCACCAAGTACCAAGGACTAGACACATTACACTAGTTAATACTGACTAGTGTCTAATCAATGGTATCCAGTACAGGCCTATAGGAGCAGGTGGTCAGTTGCGAGGCTGAATAGCTCATTGGTAACACATCTCTGACTGCATTGCTCACTGGTTGACGTCGATTCGAATCTCAGAGGGGATATGAGTTTCTTTTTTCAAGGATGCAGATAGGGCTTGCTGATGAGTGCTAACTAGCACTAAACCTAGGTCCCCGCTTCAGTTCCTGCTAATTTCTTCTTGTCATGTAGGAAAATGTTGTCCAAATCTTCTATGTAATTTGTACATTTTGTATTGTTCAGGTTATACGTAGCCAGTTGAGAAGAATCCTTGAAATGATAATAAAAGCTGAACTCATATTATCATCCTCGTAGACATGTGCCGTTCTTGCTTGATTGAAGTTTATTCACTGTAAGAATTGCATAAAGTCTTTAGAAGTATATCTGGTGAATAATGATTAGCAGTGGAATCCAGGATAACGCGCCTTTCGTCCTATTTGGGACTTATCACCAACTGGATGTGTACCTGCATTCCCTAGTGAGTCAGTGATAGTGTTCCCACTAAGACTAGAACCCTGAGCCTCCAAAATACTATATTCTGGATTCTACTGCTAATCACCATCAACAGATTATTGACTTCAAGTTATATGATCAGACATCGTCGTCGAAGTATCTTCACAAGCAACCAACATGTCAAACTGAGAAAGAGAACTTCGGTCCAATCAATCGACGGAAAACTCTAAAATTGAATTAAATTTTTAGTAGTATGTATTAAGTGTTAAAAAAAACAAGAGCGAAGGAAAAATAACCCGTATTACCCATATTATTTCACCTACCTCTCTAGATGCTTCAACTGTACTCGATCTTTCCAATTTACGCATATTTGCGATTTCTTTTTTACGTGCAGCACTTTCTATCTTCAAATTACTCTTTATTATTATTGTTGTTATGAGTAGTATTAACAGTAGTAGTATAGTTAGTTGAAAAGAAAAAAAGAACACAGAAAATGAAAATATGACAACACACAGGTAGGAAAAAACAACAGCAAATGTAAAACTGTAAAGAAAATTCTCTTCTTTTCGATGAAATCATTTTCAAGAGCTGCGTTTTAGTAAATGTATTACATAATGGGAGTTATAATCTCTAGAGGGATGACTAAGTGGAGAGCAGAGCGGATCAATACTACGCACTGCCATATCCGTAAACTTATTCTAAAACACTGTCCAGCCTGGTTAGCCGGGAGGGGGCGAGGAAAGAAGAACATCGGTGGTCCTGTCCTTGAGCACCATGTCAATCCTGAGCATCAGGCATGCCCCTTCGGTTGCTTCATAGTGTTACATAGGGGCGCCTTAACATCACACGAAAGGGCTTCGTATACTCCATCTATATATAGCCAAATCACCGGCTATTTGGAACGTGGAACCTGACCTCTAAGTTTAAAAGCACTAAATTACATGGTCCGGGGTTCGGTCACCGGCCACAGACGCACTCCTTTACCTCACTTTTCCAGTAATAAGACTGGTAAAGAAGGAAGGTTGGACATGAGGCTAGCAACCCCATCCTGTAAAAATAAACACTGCTACAGAAACTTCAAGCCTCCAGCTTGAAGCCCTATGTTCCACTGGGAACGTGAAGGAAATAAATAATAAATTACACTCACTTGCTTTACTATGACCAGTGTAAAATTCTATTTGGACAATGATAATTTGTAACTAAAGTTGAAGTGGTCATAAGAATAAAATAATTTTTACAAGGATAACACGTAATTAAAGATGAAGTAGTCAGAAAAATAAATAATTTGGACAATTATAGTTTTTTAAAAAAGAAAAATTATTCTAGGGGGAGGGTGATGGAGTAGTCCGGTTTATACAGTCATGTAACGATGGCCAAGGTAAGGAAAGTGGCTGTACAAATTTCTTCTGGACACACAAGTTTGGCTTCTTCAGGTGGATTCCTATTGCTTCAGCTGTATGTAGAAGACGAACTCGTAAAGCAAAATTAAGATTAGTAGGGATGCGATAAATAATTTTAAATGCAGTATTAACATCAACCTTATGCTCACTATCTACAAGGTGGGCTAAAATAGAGCTACGAATAGATTTTGTTTGTCCCTTGCTTAACCATGCCGGATGATGTTCGGAAATACGATGATGAACCTGCCTAATTGTTCGCCCGATGTAGCTGGCTCCGCAGCTGCAGTCAAACTGGTAGATACACATATTAATTTTTCTTCGTTAATTATCACCCCATTGACATTTTGACACCGACTAATTATTGTTAACAAACATATCGCCACTTGATTGGTAAGTTGTTGTGTATTGTAATTAAAATGCTATATATATTAGAGTAGAGCCAGAGATGAGGATCTAATTGAAAAGTAAATATTTCTTCGCTCAATCTTTCTCTTTTCTAAATGTCTAAATGGGGATATTTTCTATATTGAAATAAGATAAACTCGACAGAATAGTACAAAGTTAGACATGGGTCAACAAAAATAACAGTTTACAAAATACTCTGATTGGGCCATGAGTTCAACTGTCTGACTAAACGGATCGAGGTAAAAACACATATACACACAGTTCATTAAACAAGCAGGATAGACACGTTAGCATGAATAATTGGGTTGCAACAACGCTAGGCTGATCCGGGACAGGTTGACTTGATTCAAGGATGGGAATAGAATTGATCTTACAATCATGTTGCATAATTGAACATATACAAATATATACATATATATATGCTTGTTATCAGCTGATGCAACTAGAACGTTGAAAGTCATTACTATGGTGAACGAAAAGAGTATCAATGTTATTTTTTTTTGTCAGGCGTGATATATATAAATATATATATCATGTGACCAGTGTAAGCATAAGTTGATGGCTAATTGATTCACTGATTTAACGACGGGGTATAATCTTGAACAAAAGTGCATTACTTCGCATCGCTACACCCCACTAAAACACAACTATATAAATAAGTAAAGAAGAGAAGTGTCATAATGACTTACTGAAAACGATTATATATCTCATGAAGGCCAGTGAACATTTGTGACAGTTAGTTCCCTTTTCAGTAGTTGTTTTGTAAGGATTAGGACTTGTTTTTGACAAGTTTGCCCACAGATTGATAGCAGTTAGAGAACCATTAAAAAAACCCACCAGGGGAGTAGTGGACAACCAGCTGTTTCATACTTCCTTTCTGGGAATCATCGACAGTATGAACCCATCACAGTCGGGTTCGAACACAGGACCTTCTGGTTACAAGGCAAGCTAGCTGGTTCGTATACATTCAGACACTGGGACCCAACTCTATCCAATGGCCAGCCAATGGAAATCTAACTTATCCCAATTTGTGATGCATTTGGCGCGACTGGCACTAACCAGTGTGTTATCGGTGGGGACATTATCCTCACACGTGACATCTGGATTACCTCACTGTCCACTACTTCTCACCTAGATCTTCAGGAAACTTCATCCTGTAGGAAGCTACTAGCGAGCATCATGGCTATTGAATTGGATCGGGTCCCAGTGGCTGAATGGTATACAACCCAGATTGCCTTGTAACCAGAAGGTCCTGTGTTCGAACCCCACTGTTGGGGGTATGTACTGTTGATGATTCCCAAAGAGGAAGGATGAAACAGCTGGTTGTTCAACAGTCAGGTGCTGGTTTTCAATGGTTCTCGAACTGATATGGATCCGTGGTCAAACCCGTAAAAATTAGTTGCTTTTTTTTATGAATTTAAAGAAAGCAATAAGATGCTATTCGTCTGGATCAGGCTACCCGATATGGGTAATCATAGCAGCTTGGTATCTCGACAACGGTTGAACACTGATATGGTTAAAAAGACTTTTATGCAGCTAATACCATAATAATTGGTAAGGTGAAGCCAATATATCTGTCTAAGCCCTTTGGATATGAGAAAAATGATGTCACATCCAACTGTATTTACCAATTTGAATGTACGTGTGGACAAAAGCATAGAGAGGACTCATCGATCTTTGCAAGTAAGGGCTGGCTTCAGATCATATTCCTAAATGACTTCAGAAACAAATAGAATCTTCAGACACTAATGGTTAGAACAGGAGACATACTCCTCTATTGCGAAATATATAATATAGATAGGACATAAAATTGATGTTTACACATCTTTTAACCTTATCTATAGAACGCGTATGGGACGTATCCTGAAGTTTGTGGAAGCCCTAGCTGATAATTAGGAAGTTTAAACTACCTTTATGCGTTCAAAGCAATAATTCGTCATCACACTAAACCTTCCTTGGTAAACTTTGTTTTTATACCAACCAGGGTAGATGTACTGTTATCTCTGTTATTTGGACCAATGGCTGATCTGCATTGTTATATTGACCCTCAATATGTCCTTTTAACTTGACCTAAGTCTATTTATTTTCTCACCTCTTAACTCTTTGTTAATTTCTTGAATTGGATTTTTTGATTTTCCCGTCGATTGATTGGACCGAAGTGCTCGGTCTCAGGTTGACATGTCGGCTTCTTGTGCAGATGCTTCGACGATGTCTGGGGATTTAGTTAGGATACAATTGGTGGATGGTGACTAGCAGTGGAATCCAGGATGCGAATTTCGTCCTATTTGGGACTCGTCAGCTGGATGTACCTGCATTTCTCAGTGAGTGATGATGTTCCCACTGAGACTCGAACCCAGTGCCCATAGTTTCGAACGCCAAAGCGTTATCCACTAGACCACTTGGGGCCACTCGGTCCAATCAATCGACGGGAAAATCAAAAAATCCAATTCAATAATTAATATGACCCGTTGCACAAGAGGTGGCTCTCGTGGCCCAAGTGGTCTAGTGGATAACGCTTTGGGTTTTGAAACTATGGGCACTGGGTTCGAGCCTCGGTGGGAACATCATCACTCACTGAGAAATGCAGGTACATCCAGCTGACGAGTCCTAAATAGGACGAAATTCGCATCCTGGATTCCACTGCTAGTCACCATCCACCAATTTTATTAATTTCGTATATAAATTCCTATGACAAGTTCATGTGTGATCAGATTGTTCGAAATGCGTTGCAGAAATACAACACTACACGATTCAGACAAATTACGTCATCTTATTGCTTTATGTGTGCATTTATGAACAATTTTGAACCATATCTGAAAAACGTTTTCAGTCAGTTAATCTTAACATCTCAAGGGCACCAACCAAGTAATCTACAAATATGAATGTGGGCCTCACCAATAGTCGATGACTACACGAACTGATGCCACCTCCATCCATTTTCCAACTTAATCTGAATTAAACTAGCATTGATCGTAATGAAAGGCTGATTCACAGTATGCGTCTCTATCTGTGGATCTCTAAGTCACCTTTTCCATTGACCTTTCATCACAATAAAGTACACCAGACTTAACTTCTAAACTACTTAACATGTTGTCTGTCCTAATATCAGCCTCTCAAACAGTGACTACCGTGGTCAAAAATCTTTTATCTCTAAATATCTTCTAGTCGCTACGATAGTGTTCAATAGTTGTATTCAATAGTTGTCCAATTGGGATTTGAACTCGGGTCACCCAGTCCTGCTGTCGAAAACATTACCATTGAGTTATTCACGCTCACGATAGATCTATTGTAGGACTGATAAAATACAGTCTCCACCGACATTCAAAGGAATAGGTGCATGAAGTTAGGTTACAGCCTAGTGACCAGTCATTTTATCCATCACAGTCCTACAAGAGGTCAATTATGAACCCAAATAGTTCAGTGGTAACGTCTCGGATTGCAGCATCGGGTAACGTATGTTCATATCTCTGTGAGGATATGAGTTCCTGAACATAAGCCTTGCTGAATAATGCCAACAAGTACGAAGACTAGGTCCAGGGCTTTCTGTTGATTGCCTCCGACCACCTAACATCTATGATGTGAATAATATCTCAAGTTTTAATCTAACTCTG